AAGTCCAGGCCTGGTCCTCTCTCCTCCAACACTGTCGTAACTCCTCCTTTTATCCTTCCGGAGCTCCTCCGTGAGACTGAGACCGGTGAGTGGCGCAGGTGTCGCTCATTATCAATTACTCCACCGGCCTCGCTCCGTTCCCACGGCTCTCGACCCCGCCCCTCTCGTCACACAGGCTACATTTATTTGTTCAAAAATACAGTAAAACTGTAATATTGTGAAAAATTATTACAATTTAAAATACCAGTTTTCTATTTTTAATATATTTTAAAATGTAATTTATTCCTGTGATGGCAAAGCTAAATTATCAGCAGCCATTACTTCAGTCTTCAGTGTCACACGATCCTTCAGAAATGATTCTAATATGTTAATTTGGTGCTCAAGTAACATTTCTTCTTATTATCGATGCTGAAAACAGCTTAATATTTTGTGGAATTTGTAATACATTCTTTTTCAGGATTCCTTGACAAATAGAAAGTCCAAAATAAATATTTTGTAACAATGTAAAAGTATACTATACTGTCGTTTTTAATCAAATCAATGCATGCTTGCTAAATAAAAGTACTAATTTCTTTAAAACAATGAAAAATAATTTTCATATTAAGCAATATGTGATTTTGATTATGAGAAATTATTATATTAAATAATATAATAATATATAATTGTATATAAATTCATGATGTGTATTTTATACAAGTACATAGATATTGTAATTATTAATTTACACAAGTATATTATATCATACACAGTGCTCTTTTTTATACGGTTTACAGTGGTAATAGCTAGTAGCTCCACAGTAAAATGTAATGGGTAAAAAAATCCCACTTCTCATTTTCTAAATGGTTGTAACTGTGTCATGGTTAGGAAAAAACTAAAAACTAAAAAAACTAAACTGCTACCAAAGTGTAGAATTGTCAGACTCTGTTCCGTGTTTCATGTGTGTTTTGCTCCCCCACGTGCTCCAGGTTATGTCCATGCCCATATTTGCTCCTTCCTGTTTCCTGTTCCTATTATGTTTATTGATCCCAGGTGTTTCTCGTCTTCCCCTCGTCATGTCTTGTGTATTTAAGGTGTTTCCTGTTTTGTGTTCTCTGTTTAAATCAACTAGAGATGACATTTTAATAGAAATATATATAGTGTTGTTAAATTTGGAAAGACTGCGAGTAGATATTCAATTTTGTTGGATACCAGCACACATAGGTATAGTAGGTAATGAAGAAGCTGATAAATTAGCAAAAAAACTCTAAATCACAGTGACAAAATGGATATTCCACTTGGAAAAAATGAAGGAAAAGTTTTAATTAAGAAAAACTTTGACAAACAGTGGCAAAAAAGTTGGGATTCAAGTAATACAGGAAGGGAATACTACAGAATTCAAAAATCAATCTAAGTTAGAACAGTTAATAGTAGAAATAGAAAGGAGGATATATGCAAGACTACGGTTAGGACATACAAGACTTAACAATACATTATTTCTTATGAATAAAGTAAACACAGACAAATGTGAGGTTTGTAACCGCAAAGAAAATGTAGAGCACATATTAATTAAATGCAGGAAATTCAGAGAAGAGAAAAACTTAAACAATGCATTCTAAAAGTTGGAAGGGAAGGGGACATTAGAGGTGTTTTAGGAATAGAAAATGATCACAATGAAGTTACCAGGGCAATAATGAGTTTTTTGCAAGAAAGCAGTTTAGTTAGAACAATTTAAGATCATAATGAAGTCATGATGTTACACACTCCAATATAGTAGGTGGCGGTATGCACCTTAATGTTGGCCTGTAACCAACCACCAGAAAACTAAAAGAAGAAGAGTTCTCTGTCCGGGTTTGAACGTTGATCCCCGTGTCCTACGTGTGATTCCTGTGATGTCAGTAAAGACTGTTAATCCTGATTCTCCTGCGTTCTCCTCGTTCTTTGCTTCTTGTTCCTCGCTCCTAACCGTAGGCACACCGTGACTGAAAACTGGACCGATGCAGAAAAGTAAGCGGT